AGTCCAACTTGGCCCGTTTGCCCTGCTTTTAGAAAATAGGCTTTTATTACTATGTTCTTTCTACAGAGAGACTTATAATGTCTTTCTGGACTCCTCCAATGCTGAATGCTGCCCAGATAGGTGTTCTATACCCTTCTTTCTTGAATGGACCATCTCCCATCATTTGCACTGCTGCTTCCGAGTCCCTACGTCCTTCCCAAGTCATTGTGCAACCGAGGTAGCCCCACTCCTGTCTCCACTCACTCAGTCAGTATTTATTCACCAGGCAGACCCTCCATCTCAGAGCATGCACCAGGCATGTGGTTTCCAGGGGTCCCCCAGTTTCTGCCCCCAAGACAACTCTGGCTTCAGTCCTACCTAGTCCCTCAATGTCTATCCCGCCATAAAAAGAACAGCATTAAGGGAAGGACAGCAGCAACTCGACGACTTTTTCAAGAAAAAAATCCCACCAGGCCCATAAATGAAACACCTCCTCGGTGGGCCCAGGGCCTGTTCCTGACTTGCCAACCCACACTGCTCAGAAACAAGCTGACTCCAGGTAGAGCCATGGAGGGGCCCAGCATGCTGTTGGGGGTGCCGCTGGTGCCCACCCCCTGTGACAGATACACTGCCGGCCCTGTGTCCTTTGGTGCCTTCCCTCCGGTGCCCTCCATAATGTAGAGGACTCCTGCTAAACCCTGGTCACAGGCAAAGGAACGAAGAATATAAAGTCAGAAGGTCGTGGTTGAATCATGGTGGCCCATATCTCGGTCACGTGACCTTAGCAAGTCATTTAGACTCTGTGTCTCTGCCATTTCCATTGTACAACCAGGATGATGGAACCCCTCTCAGGGTTGATGTGAGCATTAAATGACATAAGCATTAAATAACGTAATGTACGGGTAGGCAGAGCCAAAGGCCTATATGTCATTGGCCCATCACCTAAGAGCCTAAGCAAGCCAGCCTGCTGCTTCAGTCTTAGATTTGAGAAAACTTGGAGACTGCTTGCCTAAAAGCATGCCCTGCTCCCCAGAAGCCCACAGTGAAAGCCCATGAGTCAGGCCAGGAGACAGTGGCTGCGGCCTGCAGGGGGGCAGCTGAGAAGATGAACAAATTCCCTGGGTGAGGCTCGAGGTCATGGATGCATGTTTGCCTTTGCAGCCCACGTTGCTTCTCACCACTTGAAATTCTCCTAAAAACCCTGAGGAGCAGCTGAAAATATCCCAGGTAATATGAAAATGAATAACGGCTCAGCAAACAGAGCCCAGCTTCTGAGCAAACAGCCGAAAAGGCAGGCAGCCCAGGCGAAATGAGAAAAGGGGAGAATGCCAGAGGATGGCGGGGGGTGGGGGGCAAATAGGAGAAAGAGAGGAGGGGAGCGTGGGAGGCGGCGGTAGCGGTCAGGGTCTCAGCCCCCTGTCTTCTTGGCACTGAGCTGCCCTCTGTCCTGGAGACTTTTCCCTAAAAGGTGAGGAAAACTGGAGCAAAGAACACATTTCTCACCTTTAGCCTAAGTGGAGAGACCTTTTGGTGTAACATGCCTCATGGTCTGGTGTTTTGTACAGTATTTTTCTACAGTGAAAGAGAATTTGAGAATGAGGAGAGGTGGGGAGTGAGCCTTCCTGAGTTAGGGGGCCTGAGTTCTAGACCCAGCTGCCCCTAGGTGGCCTGTGGGCTGTTGTGGGTGACAGTTTCCTTATGAGAAGGTGAGACTAGATGATTTGGGGGGTTGGGGGAGGGCAGTGTCCTTTCAGCTCTAACATTCTATAGATTTTTTGGAATTTTTTCCATGATCAAGAAAGCTTTGCGTAAGTATTGAACCATTTGTTGGGCTGTGCAATTCAAGAGGATGCAGTGTGGCTTATACCCTTTGGGAACTTATCCTTGTGACATGGGCAGTCATGTGGGCTAGGAACCAGCAAAGTAAGAATCTTGGATATTCTGAGTAGGACCAGGGTGAGGCCAAATGAGAAGTTTCTTGCTCCTAACAGTGGTGGCTCTGGGGCCAAAGGGTAGAATTGGCAGACCCAGTATCAATGACAGTTCTCACTGATTCTGTGCTTGCTCCATGTCCAGAGCTATGCTAAACACTTTCCATTTACTATTTTGTTTACTTCTATATGAATTCTGTGAGCTAAGTATTATTATTATCCCCACTTTACAGATGAGACTCAGAGAACTCAAATAACATGCCCATGATCACAGAATCCAGATCTTCCCCAGAGTCCACTTTCCTAACCACGGTACCACAAGGCCTCCCATGACCTTCCACGGTCTTCCATGACCTGGGGAAGGGAGCAATTGCCCCTGAAGGGTGAGGGAAGTTTACCAGCAGTCGATAAGGTGTCCTAGCTCCCAGGGAGGGCCATATTCCCCCAGGAGAGCGCAGAAGGGAGTCATGCCCAGTGGGGCTCAGCCACCTCTGCCGTGCTGGAGCTCTGCCAGTTCACATAGGAGGGCTGCTTGCAAAACTATGGCCTTAAAAAAAAAAACCTTGTAATAAATAAGAGAACAAGCTGTGTGGCAGCCACAGCACCAAGGGTGTGCCATCAAGGAGCACAGTGGGGGCAACAGGAGCAGTCTGCAGAGAGGAGGATGGTCTCAGGGCTGGAAGCCACAAGGCTCAGGGAAGATCACCTGGCAGGGATGTTAGAGTAAGCAGAAAATCTTGCCTCAGGTGGAAGGTAAATCAAAGGTGCTAAGAGAACACCCAACTCCAAAATGCCACATGTCCCATGTATGTACTATGCACTGGCTATGAACTGGGCATGGCTGCAGGTCCAGTCCTGGGCAAAGGTGAGTCAGCAGTACCTGCCCTCACAGAGCTCACGTCTCATTCCTGTGTCCTCACTACCTCTGTGTGGGTCTCAGAATTCCCTCTGTCCCCATGTCTAGCCACAGATTGCTTTGTTTAGGCAGTCAGTCAGCAAACATTAAGTACCTGCTGTGCTCAAGGCCTTGCTGCAGGTGCAGGGAATATTGCTGAGCAAGACAGAGCCCCTGCTGTTCAGGCTCTGCCTGTTCTGGGTATGCGGGGAGAATGAATGAACGAGGAAGGCCAGTAGGGAAATAAAACATGTGGGATCCTGATGAATGTGTTGTGACGAAGATAAAGTAGGGTACTTGGGACAATGCCTAGGCTGGTGCTGGGAAGGCTCTCTGAGGATGGGGTGCTGTACGGAAATCTGGTGGTCGAGAATGTGGCAGCCACATATGGGTAGAAGGAAAGAACGTCTCCAGCAAAAGGAAAAGCAAGAGAAAACTTAAAAGGGTGGGCTTGAACCCATGTGCCTGGGAATTAGATGAGAGGGAGAATAAAGAGAAATGAGATCAGACAGGCAGACAGGGGCCATTCCAAGGGTTTGGGGAGGCCCTGCGTGAGCCTTGGGACCTCACTCCACATGCAGTAGGGAGTCACTAGAAGGCTCAGGCTGGGGGAGGGAGGCAGCTTTCTGTAGAAAGATCCCTCCAGCTGCTTTGTGGGGTCAGGGGCGCCTGATGGGAGGCACTGTTGACTTGGTCTTAGCCATGGAGCTAAAAGACAGAGGAAGGAGGTCGGATTCAGATGGTTCTACTCCCATTCACTATGGGAGTAAAGCTGAGAGGACTTCCTGATGAATCGGCTGTGGCTGAAGGAAAGGGAGGAATTAAGACTGACACAGATTTCTAGCAAGTGAGTGGAGAGGTGGGGGAGGCTTGGCAGGAGTGGGTGCGCAGCTTTGAGGAGGGAACTGAAAAGATATCTTTTTGAATATGCTAAATCTAGGACGCCTTTTAGACACCAAAATAGAGATGTTGAGTAGACAGGTGATTATAGATGTCTGGGATCTAGGGGAAGATACAGCTGGAGATGTAAGTCTGAGAGACCTGAGTGTGAAGGAAGATATTTAAAGCTATAGGACCAGGTGAGATCACACAGAGAGAGAGGATGCAGAAGTGAGGAGTGCTAAAGCCACTCCTGTGTTCTCAGGAAACGCCAGCAAAGGCATCTGAGGAGTGCCAGTGAAGTATGAGAAAAACCAGGTGAGCGAGGTGTCCCAGCACCTGGAGAAGAAAGTTTTTTTGAGAAGGAACGATTAGCTAACTGTACCAAATGCTGCTGGGAGATGAAGATGAGGACAGAGAACTGGCCATTTACGCTGGCAAGATACAGTCGTTACTAATATTGGTAACTGGCCGTCAGTGGAGTGGACTGGAGTGGGCTTTATTGGAAATGGAGACAGTGAGTTTAGAAGACTCCTTGGAATAGATTTGTTATGAAGGGGGGCTCGAAAAGAGGCAGAAAGTGGAGGAGGGAGTGGGGCCAAGGGAGCATTTATTTAAAGGAGGTATATTTGTAGGCCGATGGAAATGGCCTCATAAAGAGGGAGAAAATGATAATGCAAGAAGTAGAAGAGCTGGAAAAAAAAGGTCCTTGAAACAGCACAGGAGAATGGGGTCAGAGCCCAGGGAAGGTGTTGACCTTGGACAGGAGCCAGCACTGTTTTCCCATTGGGACTGGGGCTGGTGTGGGCAGAGTGTTTTGGTTTTGATGCAGATACAATAAAAGCCTTGTTGATGGGAAGATGAGGTAGTTCTCATCTTACAGAAATCTATTTTCTCTATGAAATACATGGCAAGGTCATCAGCTGAGAATGGAGCTTGGGGTAATGTTGGAGACTTGAGGAGAGAGGAAAGTATGCTCGTTTCCCCAGAGATTGGGAAATTGAATTTTCTAGGGAAGTGTAGTAGGTTTTTTCTGACAGTGTTGAGTGAGATTTGTGGTCATGTTTGTAGCGAGCCTAGTCATCAAATTTGTGTCATTTTTCTCCAGCAGTGTTCAGTGATCTGGTACAGACCCCAAATAAGTGGGTAGGACCCCAGGGCTGGAGTTCTGCCGGACTAGTACAGGAAGGATTGCTGCCAGAGGTCCAGGCTGTTGGCAAGTGGGGGTGGTACAAGTGTTGGATGCTGGAATTAGAGCTGGGTCAGGGGAAAGCAGACACATGGTCACATGGATAACAAAAAAGGGTCATTTTTAATTAAATGAAGAATTGATGGAGAGGGAGCATCAGAGTAAGCTGCCTCTGTGGAAGGTGGCAGTGGTCAGAAAGTGGGACTTTGGAAATCTACTTAGTGGGTTCTTGGTGTGACGAGTCTAGGGAATGGCTGTGTGAATGTAGCAAAAGCTCACTGGAACTAAGAAGCCAGGAACTGGACAGATCTTCATGGATGCTGAAGTCTCCGATGATCATGGCAGGGGTAGCAGTGGAGAAGGAGTCAGCAATCCAGGAGCTGACGTCATCCAGAACGACCAGGGGAAGACCTGGAAGGAGGTAGAAAGAGAGCATCACGTATGCAAGAGGGGTCACGAGGGCTGCTGATAAGCTCTTCAAGTGAATTTGGGTTTTTGAAGAGTTTAGAGTTTAGATCCGGAGCAAGAAAGGCAAACGCCCACCTCCCCGTCTGAAGCACACAGGGCACAGGACACACAGCTGCCTCTGTCGGAAAGGGCCTCTGAGGAAACCTGTCCTCAGTGGGGAGCTGGGTTTCACTTAAAGCAAGGAAGCGAAGGAGACAGGCAGGACCAAGATCTCCAGAGGGCAAGGTCAAAGGATGTGGCGGGGGGAGGGGAAGGGGTGTGCACAGCTGCGTGGCACTGAGCGTCTACCCAGGGATGCCTCCTCAGGTAGGCTTGGACCCCTGGTGGTGATTCAGGTGCGTGGGAAACTGAGGCATGATGAGAGCAGTCCCGGATGTAGTAGTCGTCTGTGATTGAGGACAATGGCGTGGCTGGGCTGGGCTTCTGGTGGAGATGTGGGGGCTTCTGTTGAAGACCTGGGGCAAGGGGCTGGCTTGCTGGAGTTAGTACAGTGGGGTGACTGAAGGTTTGACCAGCCTAACCCACCACTGAAGCTGAGGAGAAAGTTAGGGTCACATCACAGACAATGTCAAACTAGGCACAGGATTTTAGATATTCCTATCAACTCTTTTCTTTTTCAGATGAGGAAACTTAGGCCTGGAGAGGTCAAATAGTTTGTTCAAGGCCACCAAGCTAATAAGTGGGATTAGAACTTATTCAGGGCAGAGGCGTGTGTGTCCTCTGTGAGTATGCTGCCTGCCTCCGGCCGAGCCGAAGGAGGAGGAACTTAAGGGAGGTCAGAGCTTCCAGTGAGGCCAGGAGAGCAGGTTGTCTTGCTGAGTCTTTTCTCACCTGTGGTCTCCATGTTTGCTCCAAACAGGAACATGTCCCTGGCTTGGAGGGACCACTGGGAACCAGAGAGCTTGGACTAGGGACTGCATCCCTGTTACCCACTGGTACACCTCGGTCAAGTGCCCTGGCTTGTCCTGCTTTGGGGTCCCTGTCTGTGGCTGTGGGCATACGCCTGTGGCAAGCCCGTGAACTGCAGAGGGAAGGCATCCCCAAATCTCTCGGGACCCGCCGTGGCATGCCCTGAGACGGTGCCTGTCTGACCGAATAGATGAGTCACTTGCTGAGTGTCCGCCCTTGCCCGGCACTGCTTCCGCCAACTCAAAGTCCACTTGAGGAAACCAGCTTGCACACAGCAGCTCACAGGCTTAGTGCTACAAGACACCTGAGAGGTCTTTTTGCCTCATATTCAGATGAGGAAATGCTGTGGGAGCCACAGAAGGCTCTACCCAGGCCTCTTAAATGGTGGTCCCAAGCTATGTCACCAACGAGGGCTATGCTTTTATTCAACTTGCCAAGTCTGGCCTGTGGCCCAGCTCTGAGGGGCTGCCTGGTGGGCCCTGCCCATCTCTTCCCTGCAGAGTGCCTGAGTCCTGCCACCAGCCCTGAGCCAGCGGCAGGTATTGAGTACATCACGGTGTCTGGGGGGCCCTTTTGCCCGTAGAACAGGATGCCGGTGAACATGGACCCGATGAGCTGGCTCCTTCCTCTCAGCCCCTCTCTCCTTTCAGCCTGCGCAAGTGTTAAATACAGCATCAAATTAAGCAAAATTAAATACATTTCCATGCGGCATTTTTCTCTTGACTGAATCAAACAATGCGGTTGCCATAGGAACAGCCTCTTCTGAAAAGGTCACCTGCAAGAAACTGTGTTTTAGGTACAACTCAAGGAGATTATGGGGGATTAACTCATTTTATACATATGTATTAAATATATATGTTTTTTATTTAAGGGGCTGTTATGAAGGAATAATATCCAACTGAGCTGGAAGATACCCACAGAAAAAATTTTAAGTCCCTGATAAAGGATTTTTTTCTCCTATCCTTTCCTCTTTTTTTTTTTAACCGGCATGCAGTGGGGGTGATATCTGAAATGGCGACTCTGTGTTTTTACTTGGCTTTAATTAAACCTCAGTCAGGGCTGAGAAATGTGGTGAAGCGAGATAATTGCACTATTCCCAGTACAGTTTTTAAACTCTGGCTTTGATATGCACCTCGTGACAGCCTGAACCTGCACCCAGACTCCTGGGGCTGCTTGAAGCTCGGCTTGTAACCACCCCTCTTAACCTGCAGGCAGCTGGGGATGACATTCGGATCTTGAATGGGAAATGAGGGCTGGGGGAGGAGGGGCCCAGGCCATCTGCACAGAGGCGAGGAGAGGCCGCGTCTCCCCTGTGAAGTTACTCCCTAGCGTCTGGAGTTCTCCCTGGGACCCAGGTGTCCAAAATGGGAGGGAAGGACCAGCACAAGCCAGTCTGACTCTGAAAGGGAATGGAAGGGATGGGTCTTCTCTAGCTCTCTCCCACAATTTTGAGAGTAACTGGCCATCTTAAGGACATCCTCACTGGAGTTCGAACAGGATGCCTGATGCAGGGTCCTTTGTGAGTCACAGCCAATATGAGGGGCAATACATGTTTCTACTGAGTGTTCCCTCTAAAAGGCCTGGTTGGGCTCCTCCGGAGGATGAGGCCCCAAATCTCACAGGCTCACATGCTAACACAGCCCCACATGGACGCTCTGTGGTCTGCATGGCCCACCCACCCATCCAGTGATGGCAAAGGCTGCCCCCAGCGCCAGGCTGAGGGACATCCCCAGGTGGCCTAGGCAGGGATTATACCTGGGCCCCTTCCCTCCCAGCTATTCAGTCCAGCTTGCTTTCCAGGAGGGCAGATGGTAGGGCCTCTGTCCTAGGCCAGGAGGCTGAGAGTCTCTGGAGACAGATGAAGAAACAGAGGACACTGAGTGATGGCACTGGTTCCAGAGCCCTGGCTGGGCCCAGGGGTGGCTCACACTGTAGAGAAAATGCAGAGCTTGCTTCCCCGGGCTGACAAGCCCAGCTCGCATGTTGAGGTCACTCAGATGTCAGTACCTCCTGGAGCTCAGGCCACTCACTGGCTGGGCCATACCTTCCCTCTGGGCCTGTGAGAGGTGGTGACCAGCACCACAGAGAACTAGCTCAGGAGGAAACAGATGGAAAACCTGGGATATATACATGTGATACAGTCAAGTCTAATTCTAGCGATGTGGACACAGCAGGCGCAATTTGTACAAACTCCCGTAGAAATGTCCCTCCAGAGCCTTCCCCGTGGCTGACCTGTCATTACATGGAACTTCTTTCCCTTTCTGTATTTACCAGGCTGCTGTCCGTGAGATCTTGTATTTGTCCCCAGACCCCTGAGCCCAGTCGCTTCTCTTAATTTACCCCAGTGCCAGACACAGTAACTTGTGTGATACAGTAAAGAGGCTGAACTGGCAGAATAAGCAGACCTGGGTTTGAATTCCGACTGGCCCCTTACCAGCGGACTGCCTCTCTTTCTCAATCTGTCAAATGGGGGTAATAAAGTCACCGTCTTAAATAATAGGTCCTTATAGAGTTGTTCTAAAGGTTAAATGAGATGCCCTGAGGGAAAGCATCTGGATAACAGAGGTGCTCAATGGGTATTTGTGGAAGGTTTCAGGAACATAACTTTTGTACAAAACGAACCATGTGTTTCCCTTCCTGTGAAATCCAACTTGCCAGCCTGGGGACCAGTGCAGAGATTAAAGGAGGAACAGCCATTTCTAGTTCTAATCCCCTGATACAATCACTGGAGGTTTTCTTGAACTCTTAAGAAAAGCAAATCTACCAGTTATCCAGGGAAGAATTTTATTTTTAGAGCAATTCAGCCCTCTGATTTCCCATGCACCCTTAAAACAAGATCCCCGAGTGCCTGGGCAAACTAGAAAGAGCCAGAAAATGGCCACAGTCCCTAGTGGAGAGGGCCTGGCCTTTGAGTCACCCCAATCCACCTCAGCTCCCCATTTGGGATGAGGGAGAGCTGCTGTGGCCAGGACAGGGCTGCTCCGTGGTTTGGCCTTTCTCCTTTTCCTGTCTTGGGTCCCTCCAGAGAGCTTGTCCACTGAGGAGAATCTCCCAGGCACCGTCAGAGGTGGTTGGCAAGGGGGAGTGCTCTCCCAGCTCCAAACCGGGGCCTCTAGGCATGGGCTTTGGACTCAGACCATCTGCCTCTGCCAATTTTTAAGCTGTGTAACCTTGGGCTAGTTACTCCCCACTGAGAACCTCAGTTCCTTATCTGTAAAATGGGAATATACTGTTTATCTCATGGTGGTGTTGCCAGGTTTAAGCAAGACAACACTTATAAAGTGGCTGGCACACAGCAGTGGCATCTCTCAATGCACAGCATCATAATTTATCTATACGAGTGCATGGTGAGCGTCGGAATTCCCCAGAGGGCTTGTTAAAGCACAGAAGCCAGGCCCAACCTCCAGAGTCTCTGAGTCAGTAGGTCTGAGGATTTTCCTTTCTGACCATTTCCCAGATGCTTCTGCTGGCCCAGGGATCACACTTTGAAAAGCAGTGGTCTATACAATCCAAAAGTGAGGGAAATATCTGACCATAATCCATTAAATTTGTACCTTAAAGGTATCCACCTTTATCCAACCCAGTTTCTGAGTGGGTTTAGAGGACTAAGTTTCCTGAACTAGTGCTGTCCAGTAGAACTTTTCACAATGATAGAAATGTTCTAGGTCTGCGCCAGCCAATTTGGTAGCTACCAGCTATACATAGTAATATGGCAAGTGTGACCCAGGAACAAATTGAATTTTGCATTTGTATTTAAATAAACACATGTGGCTAATGACTACTTATTAGAAACAGTGCAGACTAGATTCTCATAGATAGAGTTAGTGAAGGCATATCTGTTAACCAGGAAAATAGATGGTTAAGTGGATGACAGCTCAAGAACCAGAACTGGAGTCAAGACACCACATTACAGCCACAGGCTCCTTCACTGAGTTCCCTCTACCTAAGGACCTTCTCCAGAGACTTTAGGAGTGAAGTAACAAAGCCTCCCCCTTCTCATGGATACCTGAATATCTAAGTCTACTGCTCTCTGA